GAATCCCGCGGGACGAGGTCGTGGATGCGCACTGCTGAGGACGAAATGATCGTTCAATTCTTCCAGGTTTTTCATGGTGGACTAGCTTCAATTGACTCATGATCTCAAAAATTGAAATTACTAAAATCTTCACAAAACCTTTTCCGATACTTTTCTATTTGTTTAAAGAATAATTTGAATTACAGTTATTTTCTATGTACATTATGTAAATTGTGTAATCATTTCATGAATTAAATTAACTATAGAGACAATATCCACAATTATTATTTCAAATTTAGTTGCTTTTTTATAGTTATCCTATTTAATAATACTAAATAATCATAGAGAATAGAATAACTTGCATTTTTTGCTTTAGCGAGCAGGAAATTCCGATGATTCATATACAATGTCAGGTATCCTATAAGCATAGTGATATATATATTGTAAAGTTTTGATTTAGTTTAAAACAAACAAACACAAACACACACACATGTAAATCTCTGATTGTTTCAAAATTTTCAACTTTGTATTAGTATATTCTAGATGTTGAATTTTATCAATTATATCTATTTACTTACAGTTGTTATTTAGATTATTAATTTCAGTACATGTTTTTTTCCATTTGTTCACTCCTTCTCATTGTTGTTACTAAGTGAACTATGACACATTAGAAATGATAAAGATTTGTCCCAGTTCTGTTAGTGTTTATATGTGCTACCTGTTTACTTGTTTTTTCTATTAGGCGATAATTGAATTAAATAATGTTTCAGTGTTTAGTGTAATCACATAAAAGATATACAGGTAAAGATATATATTCGTATTTATATTACGAGCCTAATGAAAGAAAGAAATTTAAAGATGATATGTAATATCAAATTAAAAGTTATAAACAAACTATTGTTCATAAGATTTATCAATATAATTGAAAGTTTTACATATCAGTGGCTGTACATAGTACTGTACATAACTGAGCTTATTGTATTCCCATTGTAATACTATGTTGAGTGAGATAGTTTTTTTTTTAGGGATTTTTTATTATATTCTCCCACTGTTTCATGATAAATATTACCTTTATATCGTAAACAGTCTTTTATATAACTAAATTAATTAATTCCACTAGTGAATGCCTTTCACAATTAGTTAACTTTAATAACCAGAGTGTAAGCTTGAACTCCGGAGTTGATTATTGTAGAAATAACAGATAATTAGTCATTGATGACATCGGTTAAACAGTTGTACTCATCAGGAGTCTTGAAGGTTTTCTTGATAAAATATTGTAGGTGTTCATTACTGAATAATTCAAAACTACGAAGTAGCTAAGTGGATAACGCGTTGGAGTTTCAAGCGAACGGTACTGGGTTCGAGTCACAGAGTGAACATCAACTCTGGGATGCAGGTACATCCAGCTGACAAGTCCCAAATAGGACTAAACGCTCGTCCTGAACTCCACTGCTAACCACTATTCATCTTTGCTTAAAAAGCTTGTGACTTAAGGCTATATCGAAGCAACCCGCACAGGATGCACATATGGCAACATGAGACCGATCAATCGCAGTCCTAAATAACAATGAGAAGATGCAAGTAGAACAACACCAAGTGAATCTAAGATGAAATAGTTGTTAGTTCGTTAGTGGTTTTCAGTGGTTTCGCTCAAATGATATCAGTTTGTAATGGAAATTGTTACAAAATCACTCAGGTTACTTAATATCTGAAATTTCACACTTTTTCAAGGCTGTATACTGTCGTATAGGTTTTTTCTTTAATGTTAAACATGGTTCGCTTTATTAGTTTACATATAATTAGTAATATTTACTCATTTTCTGTCTGGCTAATAATTACTTTATCGGTCACGTGAAGTTATTTAACGGACAATTACTTGATTTGTCTCATCGTCTACATTACTTGAAACATTTTGTTACTTATCTGTTTATCATATTTTGTATGTGTATATATGTATGTATGTATGTATGTATGTATGTATGTATGTATGTATGTATGTACATGACCTACAAAATTGGATGATGACACTAACAATAACAGTTATAGGATGTGTTTCAACTGTCAACTAATTGTCATTATTCTAATCTTCTAATTTATATTTGAACACTATCTCATTTTCATTTTGATTATAAGTAGCAACAAGATTAATAATAACAATAAACCTTCTTAAAAATAGCTCTACAAGACAGAAGAGAAAAAAAAGACACCTTCATCAATCTGTTTGTGTGCATGCCATCAGTGTGAAAATGAATAAGTGATTGTTGGTCAATAAAATTTGTTAAATTGGTAGAACTGTTCATTAGAAAAAATAAAGATATTGAATACAGTTATTTTTAGTGTGTAGACATTGAGTGTGAAATAAAAATGAATATAGGAATGTAACACATAAATGTAGAAGTTTAAAAGTTTAATGATTTTCTATGCGAATATGTTGGGATTGGTTGACTGTCAGGAAACTGGATAGTTTTCTGTTATCTATTGAATATTTTTGAAAAAAAAGATAAAACAATATTTGAGTGTCTATAATAAAGAAAACCATGTTTAATCTAACTATTTCTTTAAGCATTATATATCTGTTTTTCCTAGCATTCCAACAGCAACATCAACCACTACTACTACTACTACTACTACTACTACTACTACTACTACTACTATTACTACTACTACTACTGATGTAAGTGATAATAGTAGTATTAGAGGAATATGTAGGCATTTGACAGTTCTTCGGTATCAATACATTTTTGATTGTCAGAAAATAAGAATTTTTAGCATATATACAACAAACAAAGAATACTGACATTAACACAAGAGCACAGCTGAGAAAATTAGCAACAAACTAAATGGAAAAAAAAGAATTCATCATATTCTACTTTCTATTAATAGATTTTTACAATTTATTGGTTGTTTGGTGATTGTCGGCAATTTTCTAGGAAGGTAAATTCTTCTATTTTTGTTGTGGAATAACAGGTTCCCTTTCAAAAGAACCTATACATATATCTATCTATCTTTCTACCATCTAGTTTTCACCACCCTCTACTGAAGTTTCTTCTTTGATATTCTCGTCAGTTAAAGTTATAATCTCCGACAATACTGAGCATTGAATGAGTATATATATATATATATATATATATATATATATATACTGATTTTTGCTTGTTTGAACAGGAAATAATGTTTTGTGTGGTAATATGGTATATATAAATTATATCAATCTGTAGAATAATGAATATCAATACACTTACACTAAGAAATCAGTGAACATTTAGGATGAACTTAAATAATTTAGACGGAATTCAGATGGAAATAGATTGTTATTTTATTACTTCACACCTAGAAATTATTTATTAAGTTTACAATCTGATTTCATTTGAATTTTCAAATTCTATACAATCTCCAGTATAAGAATTGATTAACTATATAATACAGAAAGAATGATATGTTCCACTTTCTTAATATCATTGTAAAATGGAAAGCAGATGGTACAGTTCAGATTTTAATTTATCCAATGAGTAGATAGAATGTTTCATATCAACATTTTAATAGCCTTTTTGTTCAACCAGTAACATAGAATCATTTGTTTGGTAATGATCAACTACTATCGACAAATTAGTTGAATTGATCAACATTCAACCTCTCTATGAATCAACTAGTATCCACTAAAGCACATTGATAAACTTAACAGAAAGAGTCTATCTCACAGTTTCCATACATTCCATCTACTTAACTTCTTTGTTATACTGGATATTAGAAGGCGCATCAATCTTTTGGTTTTTGAATAATCCTAGCTTTCATCATGAAGTACCATAACTTTTCTATATGAAGATTCTTTAACTCAGAGCAGAGTGAACATGAATTAGTTGGTTTAGTTTGGTTAGTGTTTTGTTAGTGAGGTTATTTTTTACGAGGTAGGATCGTCAACTCTAATCCAGTTTCCACCTTTCATTTGAGAATACAACGACTGATGATATGGATTTAATTGGTTCCCTAAATAAATCGGATTGATACATGAATACATACACATATACACTAGTTTAACTCATATTTAATGATAATCTGAATAGTCCTATTAGATAGTTCATTTATGTACTTAACCAACTAGCATAAATCATTCAGTTATTTTTTCATCTGTAAATTTAAGTAAAACTGTGTTCAATAGTTCAATTTCAGTTAAATATTGTTTATTTATAATTACAAACTAGATATTATTGTTTTACATTCTTGTGGAATATTCCGAGAAACTATAGAGATTTACATCTAACCTGAAGATACTTTGGATGATGTAGGTGTAAACATTTAAAAAGCAACGTATTTGAGAAAATTTCGAAAAGAAAAAGTAAGCCAACATCTTAATAAGCATATAGAATACACTTATACTTAACAATAAAAATAATCGATAACAATCAACAATGACACGCGCACACACACGTGAGATCAAAACAATCCGGCGATTCCAATTAAAGTAGATAACTTTTTGAATGTTACAAAGTAGAGGATTTAGTTGGTGGGCGGCCTATGCTCCTCCACGAGGAGCAATAGGCGTAAGTAAGTAAGTAAGAAAACTTAGTTAGCCTACCCATCTATCTATCTGTCTATTTATATAAAATCAAAATTATTTTGATTTCTTCCTCAAACTATATTACTTGACATTCTCAAGAAGATGTTTGACCCTAAATAATAAAAGCAATATGTCATAGAAATGTTATATATTTTGTTTTAACTATGTGTTTTTCTGAAATATTATCGATTAAATATACTTTATATTGTTTTTATTTTCCTTAAATTTCTGTGTATGTGTGTGTAGGTTTCCTTATTTATTTCGAAGTATATTAAAACTGCAATCATAGTTGGTTATCAATGATCAATTGGAGTATTCATTATGCTTTGAACAGTTTGCATCTAGATTTACATGAGATCATTCACTTTTATTCTATTATTAACAATAATACAACGGATTGTTTATAAAAGAGTACCATTGATGTAGATTGACTTCTGTTCTTGTGTATAATAATAGATTGAAACTAATGACTGGAAGTGACTCATCAATGTGTGATCTTGAAGTTAAATCATCATTATCATTGACAAGTCACTTACATGAATATCAAAGAAATCCATTATTTCACATTAATACCACTACTATTACTACTACTACTACTGCTACTACTACCATTAATAATCATATTAACACAACTCCTATTAATAATTATCAACATCAAAATGACACAATGTATGACAATAATAATGATAATGATGTGAAAATCAAGTCATCTATGAATGATCGTATTAGTGACAATACTATAAATGATACACATTCTACCACTGTTGTACACGAGGAGAATGAAAGTAAGTTAGTGTATGATTGAATCTATTTATTCTTTTTTTTCTTCCAATGATATTTTTTCGATGTGAAAATCATATGCCACATGGCATCTCACCAAAAAACGGACAAGTTCCAAAGGTAGGAACTAAGTTGAAATACACTGAGCCATGCATTGTCGCTAGAGTTAAAAGCTGCTAAAACCTTCTGGTACAAAGTCTAGACCATTGTTAAGTTGGAATTTATGATATATAATGTAACAGTTACATATTTTCATCAGTAATGACTATCTTATTCTTAACTCTGGGTTCAAAATCTGATGAAGTTGTGTGTAATTACTACTGAGAAATTTAGAAATAAGGTGAAACAGTTACTCAACACTTCTTGATTTTGAATGCGTTTTTGATTGAAAACGCTTTATGATAAAAGTCTATTCATAATGAATTAATCTCTTCTTATTATGAAATAATACATACATAGTTTCTAAAACAAAAGACAAATACTCTCTTCTCTGTTTACAAACTCTACAATGAACGAATGCATGAATGAAAAAGAAAAGTATAAATATAGACACAAAGTATATTACAAGATAACAATTACAAAAAAGTGTGTAAAAGTGAAGACATAAACGTTTATATGAGAATTAAATAGAAAATTTTTAACCATATAAGCAGATGACTACAAGTGGTAACTGATTGATAGATCACTGATGACCTCTATCATAGAGGTTTCTCACTGAAATTATGAATCCAGTCCTTTGAAGATCAATCGTCGTACGAATCTACATTCTACTCATTTGATCAATCTCTGTAAGTTGTAATAAATAACACGATTATTCAGGGACTACATTGTATACAGAAGTTATTTTATAGTTTCCATAATTTTCGCATCGTTTTAAATTATCCAATGATCATTCACAATTAACAAATAGTTGATAGGTGAATTTTTCTCATTCCTATGTATTATCTAACACTTGAAGCACTATTGAACAAACTAACATTTTCTATTCAAATCCAAGGAACTGATTGAAATTAAAAATGCAAATTATTCAGATGGTTGGTTAAGTTAAGTGCTCTCAACGAGACCTGTAATTTTTGTGCCAGATTTGTGACGAGGTCATAGATATGTATTGATAAGAAATTTTATATTAGGATGAAATAGTTATCACATCAATTCTTGTTTTCAATAGTTGTTTAACTAAGATTAATCTATATTGTAAACTATGAATTCTCATTCACACCAATATAGTATTAAATTCATTGTTTCAAAGTTATCATCACTTACTTACTTACTTACGCCTGTTACTTCTCGTGGAGGAGCATAAGCTGCCCACCAGCACTCTTCATCCAACCATGTCCTGGATTCCACTGCAAATCATCATCCATTTCTGTTTATAGTCCTTGTGAAACTATGAATGTGGTTTATAAAGATATAGACTAATATATAAGTAGATTATAAGTAGCAGTGAGAATTATGGAGATTTAAAAAAAAAGATTAAATCATAAAATGATCACTGAAATTCTATATTGATGAAAGCACTGGCTTGCGTTTGTATATCACATTGATTTATTCACTGTCAGAATGACTACTAGTAAAAAGAATGTAAATATTGATAAACTATGAAAAGAAGGAACATTCAAACAGCCCTATTTTTCAAGACATTCATGTATCATTTAATGACTGGATACTGATATGTGCACTACTATAAATAAACAATATAATAGAGAGGACGAGTATAATCTATCCTACATTTTGTACAAAAAAATATATAAACAATTTATGACCTCAATTCGTATATCTATTGAACAGACTACATACTATCAGTTATGATCTTTTATATTACATTGAATTGTTTATTAATTTCTTTTTTGAAATAAGATAATTAACTAGGAAATACAGAGAAACATTTTTATTAGTTATGTCAACCACCCACCATGTCTCTATCTTCTACAAGATTATAACTGAAAACTAATCAGTAGTATTATTAGTAGTTAATAATGATGATAATAAACCATTGAATAACTGTGATCATATTCCAGCTCCTTTTAGTTAGAAAATATAGTCAATAATAATAATGGTAGTAATAATAATAATGACTACTGAAAAAAAGATAAACAGGTGGGTGAAAATTGAAAGGTGGCAGGGAGATAGAAACCAATTAGCTGTATAGTGAGAGATAATGGTAGAGATGATAGATAAAAAGACAAATATATCTTAGTTATGTTTGAATGAATATTAATCATTCTACATTCATGTTAATTACTGGAATCATTAGTGTAACAAATAATAAAAATAATAATAAAGGAAGAAACAAAACAAATTACACCATTCCATAATTTATAAAGGCCACCAGGTAGAAAATTGAGTTCTTTATAAAATAATAACAAAACTATTAATGATTAATAATTAATAAGTAGTTTCAATAATATCTTATTGATTAATCATTGTATATTGAAATTCTGGTCAACATTTTATTTATTCAATGAAATAGTTCAATAAACAATCGATATTTCATGTTACTTATTTCCCTTTAGGTGTTAACTTCATAATCATTACGAAAATTTAACTGAAATTTTTGTGTAGATTTATAAAGTTAAAGTTTTCACCTGAACAATATTCCATTATTAAGTTAGATATCATAATTATTGATTTTAGAAGATGAGAAGTTTAGATTCAGTAAACAAGCTATCCATATTTTATGATTGTTGAAAGTATCTTTTATAAAAAAAGGAATATATATTTAGAATTTCTAGAAACCCATAGTACAGTATTTTGAGTGTTAGGATAGTATTTGACAGACTTTAATCGAAAATAAGCTTACAATAGATGGGTATATGAAATTTGGCTCATAATTTATTTATATAGACTTCAACTACTTATTAGTAGTTCAAATGTTTTGTAAAAAGTATGGGTTGATTTTTACAATCGAATCATTCATTTGTTAGTTAAGGATAGATGTTTTCTTAAGACTAACAATAAATATATTTATCCAGTAGACTGAAGTAAATTTTACTCCTTGACATTTCTACTTATAGGCACTAAAAATTTCAAACTATTTCTAATGGGTAAAATTGGATGAATTGTAATATAATTTTTTTTCTATTAAATACCTCAGTATAATTTGTATAGTTGTAGTGTAAACTGTATCGAAAGTAATGAATTGTTAAAACTTTTGAATGTGTTTCCCTTGACTTATTCATCATTCAACTAAAGTTGTAGGTTTAGGATCGTCCAAAATTTCTAATCTAAAAAACTGAGTATCATAAATAGTCATACTTTGAAATGTGTTCTTTTACGAAACCATTCAGTTAAGGAATAATGACAATGTAGAAGTCTCCTCTGAAGCCAAATAGAATGGAATGAAAAAAGCTAGATACTCAAAGTGACCTAACAGTTTTATTATGTGATATTCGTTAAGCCTTGGTCTTTATCGAATCCTTTAGATCAACTTCACAATTTCTCTATTATGCTGAGTGACTCAAGACCATGGCATACATTGTTTGAAGTTATATGGTTGTAGGGGATCAATATAGAAAGACAATTCACGTAATTCTTGAGACCAGGGAAGTTTAACCTTGTAGGGTATGGAGGAGTTAGTCAACAATGAAACTGGAAGATTGTTGTGTAATTTCACAAGTTGATTGAAGATTAACGTGCAAAATACTGAACGCTGGCTATGTGATCTACAAGTGAGATGATCGTAAAGAAACCAGACGTCCTGGGTTTGATCTTTTGTGGAGTTGTAGATATGTACTGATGAATAGCCCCGTCCTAGGAGGAGACAACTGCCCAGCGCTTTTGATTTTTTGGTGATTATTTGGCTATGGTTAGTTCAGGATGACTGAAATCCTCGATTTTGATTTATCTGAATAGTAATATATTCAGTTAGCTAGTCAATTAATCCATCATCTGAAATTTGTTCTCTTAGTAATCGGATATCAGATTTAGAAGTTCTATTTTACGTTTTACAACGTCTTGTTTTGTTAGTATACTAAAAGTCAACTTCTTTTCTGTTTTAAAGATCCTAGAAAATCAATACATTTGACGAATGCATCAAGTTTAGAAGGTTTAACATCAACTGTCGGTAGTAACAGTAATTTTCAAGCAATGTCTGGAAATACAGTTCCATTTCTACCGATTTCCGCTACACATGATGGCCGTTATGAATGGCCACCTTCAATGAGGAATTCATCAGCTAATACTGATCGATTCATTCAAGGAATTAATACAAACACTGATACCAGGCAAGACGATTTCAGAAATCAACTAATAAGTAATAACAGTAATAATTATAATTTCAAATCCGCACCTCCTACCAACAATACGGCAGATGATGAAATTAATCAAACGAACCATCATAATTTGTAAGTTATTAATCTTGTTTTTTCGAATTGTTTCTGGGTTAACTTGTATAAAAATTGTATGCACTGTTCTTATTAGGAAATTAAAAACGGTGAACAGTGCCGTGTATAATTAAGTCACTAGAATAATCAATTACCATAGGAACATGAGACGTTTGGTGTTGATTTTTTCAAACTGATTGGTTTAGTGATAAAACCTTTATTAACTCTCTAGATAACATAACAAATAGAAGCTCCAGATAGGATTGAGTTGATGATTTTTTTTACGTTTGAAAAAAGTTATGTAATCGGGTCCACATGAGCAATTAATTAGTATATGCGTATTGAAGTTGTCCATAGTCATAGTTCATCATTAAAACATTCAGGGATTTCACTAACATGATACATATTTATATATTGGTTTTATATCAAACATCAACTTCAATTTTAATGTGTTTGTGTTTTCGCTGTAAACATATAAATGACCAAGAAGAATGCTTGAAGACAAACGAATTATGAGACTGCTAAAAAAAAGTATTTATAGGGAAGAAAAATGATTAAACTGTAACCGCTTTCGTTCCGCAAGTTACAAATTATGCTTAGTCAAAACCATCTCTTCTAAAGCTAAAATATTACGTTGAAAACAACAAAATAAGTGACAAATTAGATGTTAACGAAGAAAACTTAATAACTAACGGGTACCCAAAGAAATTCATTGAGAAATATGTCCTAAAAATCCTAAAAAATTGATCGTTTACAAAAGCTTGTCTTCGACTGCTTTCTGTTTAAAGTAGACGAGATTTCAGGAAGAATAGATGGAAGATTCAAGACCGCATTGTTAGTTTCATTATACGAGACCAGATATCATTTACACTAGTCAAAGGTAGTCCAATAACCTTTTAAGTCACCTTCAGTTACATACATGAGTTTATATGTACCTGGCGTATTAAATATTCAGAAATGACAAAGAGAAACGTTTCTGCCAGGTTATCTGAACACATTTGTAGCAACCTATGCCTAAAAGGCGGTAATGTATTCATATATTCAGTTGTCTGGCTCATGTTGAATAGTGCATATAAATGCAATGCATTTGAAATAGTAAACAACCAGTATTGATTTTAGCTCATTATGCAGAAACGTTCGCTATCAAACATTCTTGACCTGACCTACATGTACAAAAAATAGCAAGGGTTTATTTTCTGCGTGCGAGATCGTCGATGGGAGTCCCATAATAAGGAGAAACGGTCTTCCAATGCCTCCAGTTTTCCACTGGTAGTCTAACCTAGATCAGTTCATGAAATTATACACCCGGTTACTATTTTTATGACAATCGCATAATCCATTTTTTAAAAATCTGATTATCAGCAGCCATAATAGTACTCCTTTCATTCTGCAGTGCTATTATTTTTACTATTCTGATACTTTTAAGTATATAATTACTCATCAACCATAATTATGTTTAATCATATATTTCTTCTCTTATTCTCATGACTTTTGGATCCATTTCGAAAACATTCATCTAAAATTCATTGATTAATGTGTGTTAAGTCTCTGTTTATGATTTTATTACACCTTATAAATTTATTCTTTCTGACAGCTGATTAGAAACTGCAAACTTCTCACATAAAAGTATCTGTCAATCAATATTGAAAAGTATTTCTATCTATTTCGTTGATTTAATGCTTTGAATTTCAAAATTCTTTCTTTTTTATTATAGTTGACTTGTCTATTTAATGATTCTTATGGTGAATGAAGAGATTAAGACATTAATATGATCTTATATAATCTCATTTTGGAGTTTTCCGTTTCAAAATTCCTTTTCTGCTTTTTTCAACTCTATCTTCTTAGCTTTTTGCTGTCAGCGTTTCCACTTACAATTGATGTTGCATACTACTTATGTTTGTCAACACAAGTAGTATACATCACACTATGAATAATCGATTTAGTAATCTGTCAGTATTTCAAACGGTGCTATTTAAAATCGACTTTTGTTGTTTTTTATTAGGAATGTGGTGATTACTGATTCTAATAATCTATGGAACAGTTATTTGACGGTATTTATTTATGTGTAATTTACAGAATCACTGTTACACATAGTATTTGCAAAAAAAATCGGTGAGACTGTAATTTATGGACGTATCAATCAGATCCATAAATTTGGCTAAATAACGTTTTGTCATTACAGCTGATATCAGTTTGTAATGAAAACCCTCATTTAGTCCTAGTTAGTAGGTGGACACAGTAAAGGTCACTCAAACATCTAATAAAAATCAATAAAATATGAATCTGAGATTTTAAGTTTTTAGGAACATTTGTGTTTGGAAAATAATGATTACAAACAGCTCTTTGGGACAAGAATCCAATTTTTATATTAAACCTTAGGACGTGAGACGCTGACAACTTTTGGAATATAACGAAATAGTACTTCCTAACGATTATTTTAATTTCATTTATATAAAGAATAGGGAATATTTGATGGTTGTAAGCGACCGACAAAATGTCTTGAAACTAGGTTTAGTCTCATTTGGTATTCGTCAGAGATGTTACTACTAAGCTATTCAATTTGAAACTAACCTCTTTTAGGAGCGAACTGTTCGCTTTAACTGATCACTGAGTATTAATGAATGTTATGTTTGTCTTGTCTTTAGTGTTAATCAAATTCCATCTATCGTGTTGTAACATAATCACTAATTTAAGGGAATCGATACCCCATGAACAATTAACGGTATTAATACTATTTCGCTACGTAAATGTGTTTATCGAGGTGGGAATAACTTAATAAATAAAATAACTCACAATGTTTATGAACTCTTTATTGTGTTATAAAATTAAACGGGATTATGTATACGGTAACTGAATGTACTGGGTGGTTAGTAAAGTCATCCGAACATTTGTTTGAGCAAACAAACGCATTTAGATATGCATACAGACTCATTATTTGGTTCTGTGAGACTCTTTAACTATTTCATTAAAATCTAACCTAACAAATTGATATTTTACTGACTGTTCTGAATTATGCAACAGTGTCCCTCACACCTTATGACTACTGATAATTTCATGGATGTTCAAACCAAGCTCAGGACCTTTGTCAATCAGAACTCCAAGTCACTACTTATCTTGTATGAAATCATGTCAAGTACAATAATAGATCATTCGATATAATTTATTCTCTATCGATCTACCTTGCATCATCAACACAGACCTACAAGAAGCAAATATTCATCTACCGAATGTATTTCTATAAAACATTGAGGTCTTGATTTTAAGATCTTGTTTTTCTCATGAACCTTAAGGATATTAACTTAAAATATGTACAATATGAACATGTATTCTCGAATAAACATATCGATGAACATCAATAAATCACTATCCATTACTTACTTACTTACTTACGTCTGTTACTCTCAATGGAGCATAGGCCGCCGACCAGCATTCTCTAACCCACTCTGTCCTGGCACTATTCATTACCTCCGATATTTTCATGGATAACAACTAATGTAAAATGAAAATATTACTATTTTCATATCATCATTTCCTAATGCAGACTTTAACAGCAGTTTTGTTGTTGTTAATGCTAGAACATTGTTTATATAATTAGCTAATTCAATAATAAACAAAGAAAATATCGTTTTCATTTTTATATGTTACCAATGATTATCAATTTCTAAAATAAAAATACAGTATCTAGTTTATCTGTGTTGTGATCTTGTTTGTTTGTTTGTTTTGGTTCCAATTTTGAAACGCTTACCTGCCTACCTTTTTCAAATGAAATAATCAATAAACATAGAAATTTATGTGTTTTTTTTGCTTTAAAATATAAAAAAATGTGTGCAACAGGTGTTTATGTTTGTTCATCTTACATATATATGTATACAAATATAACAAAGATACTCACAAACTAAAATTTGGACACTGATTGAGAGGAGAAACAATTACACAACGTGGATCATTGGTCGCGGATACGCACTGTTGAGGAGTTGCACCATAAAACGAAACGGCTGTCCAATGCTTCTAGATTTCCCATGGTGATCTAGTGTCAATTAATTGATGATCTAAACTATTAAAATTATTATAATATTCACAAAACCCACCTTCTGATACTAATTACACATTACATGTTTTTTTTAAATATTTAGTTAGGCAGTGTCCAAATACCATTTAGCTGTTTTGAGGTGTTTCTAAAGATATATTCGAAATCAAAGTTCACGTATACATATCTAAATATTTACAGAAATGGGTATTGTATAATTGAAAGATATAAATATCTTTATTCTGTAGATTTTTAACAAAGAGGAGTAGTTAATTATGTAATATCAGAAGGGGTTATTGTGGATATTATAGTAATTTCAATAGTTGAGATCATGAATCAATTGAAACTAGATCACCATGGAAGGCCTGGAAGCACTGAATGGCCGTTTCGTCCTATTGTGTGACTCCTCAGCAGTGCGCATCCACGATCGCACCTCGCGAGATCCGAACCCAGGCTTTTCATGGTGGTTTAGCTTCATTTGTCTCATGATCCCAACTATTATGTAATGGTTACATTATTTGTAACAGTCTATGTTGATAAATTTAATACTTAATATGTCGTAAATAATTATTGGTAAAACAAATCAATCCACTAACCTGTTATAAAGGTCTATGGGCATGAATTTTTTTCTACAATATAGTTTCAATTTAGTCAATTAGGTGTTTTTTTTAACATATCATTTGAATAAAACTCCATAGTAACTTATTTCTATTCCCTGAAACATTCGAATTTCAATGCTAACATAGGATTGATTATTCAGTTATCAAGTAATATAGCTACCGATCAAGGTTCCTAGGTTCGTGTCCGCCATACAGGACCATTGATGCACTCTGCCAAAGAATCATATACTATGAAGAAATAGCCATCAAATGATTTCAAGTTTTCGATAATAATTTAGATTGGTTTATGATTTCAACAGTCTTCATAATTCCATACTGAAAATATTTGTTGAATTCTATTTTACTTTTTCTAATTTTAATCTTGTTCCTACACA